GTCCCCGCGGAGTTGGCCTACAGCTGTAAACTGAGTTGACACATCAGCAAGAGGAAAGTCGCATATCGTTTAGGGACATTAGTTCGGGACGGGGAGGGTTGGCACACCATCAGCAGGAGAAACGTTGCATATCGTTTAAGGACATTAGTTCAAGACGGAGAGGGTTGGCACAAGAAAAAAGTTGCATATCGTTTAAGGACATCAGTTCGAGACGGAGAGGGTTGGCACAAGAATACAGTGTTCTCAGTCTTTCAGTTTATTTCAGTTTATTTGGTGAGGATAATAGATGTTCTCAGTCTTCCTTCAATGGTTGTCGGCCAAAGTTGCGCGCTATCGGCTGAAGGGTTAGCAGACTGCGGGCTGCTGCTTCAGTTGACACAAGAACACAGTGTTCTCAGTCTTCCTTCAATGGTTGTCGGCAAAAGTTGCGCACGATCGGCTGAAGGGTTAGCAGATTGCGGGCTGCAGCTTCATCAGCATTATCTTCAGCATGAAGCCTGGCAGGGTTTAAAGTCCACGAACGCCATGAGAGTGAGGGAGAGATTCCACCGAGTCAGCACCCAAAATTCGTGATACATGCCAAAATTTCAACTATTCGCTAGGTCCTACTCCCACTTCTTGTCAGCAATTGCACCGTTTTATAGGTCTTGTCAATTTCTATCGAAGTTTTATCCCTGCTTGCACTCAATTGGTGTTACCACATACTGATCTTATACGCGTAAGCAACCGCGAGTTTTCTTTTCCTGACAGAGCTGTAGACGCTTGCAATCGTGTCAAAAAGGCTCTCTCGGATACAACTGCCCTTGTCAACCCTAGATATGATGACCTGCTCTATTTTGTGGCCAACGCTACCAATTCCTCTATAAGTGCTGCCCTTCAGCAGCAGACGCCCAAGGGCATCTAGTCCTTGGCTTTCTATTCTGTCAAACTGACACTCCCCACAAACTAGCTATAACATTTTTGTTTGAGAATAACTTGCCATTTATCTATCCTTTAAAAATTTTCGTACTTCTATTGAGGGCAGAGATCTTGTACTTATACTGACCACAAACCTCATACTTATGTTCTCTCTACTTCTTCTACCTTCACCCCGAGAGGCCCACAATCTCAATTTTAGTTCTCAGTATACCACCGATATTGGATTCCTAAAACCCTTTATAATCAAGTTGCTGACCGTCTTTTCCGACCCGGAATTAATGTCATCGCCTGTGCTCCTGCAGTGAAGCACGTGGAAGAACTGAAAAACCAGCCAAACGTCACTGAAGAACTTAAACACACTTGTCTTCAGACCGAGGCCATTCCCTTGTCAACCACCCCAGTATAATCTTGTGTGACGTATCGTGCGGTTCCTCCCAAACTATAGTGCAAATCGAGGTGAGATTACACGTTTTTGCCGCGTTGCACAAGCTTGCTCACCCTGGCATCCGTACTACCCCGCGCCTCGTCAGCGATAGTTTCGTTTGGCCA